GTATTTTTCTGTGTATATTAACATCCATTGTGCTTAAATCTAAATGAATGCGGATTAAATAGCAAAGCAAAAATTATTTACCTGAAGAAGGGACCGTGATTCCTTTTCTTTTTTCTTTTCTTTTCTAGTCTACTCCTTTACATCTAGCAGCGGGCTACAACAGAGTTCGAATAGTTCAACTTCTTCTTCAGCATGGTGCTGACGTTCATGCAAAAGACAAAGGGTAGGTGTATCATTTTATTCCTTTAGTGGGTTTGTTCGTGGCTTGTTATGTGTTTTGTTTCCATCATCTGTTACTCTAACATTTTTAAGCTCTAAGCAGAGAAAGTCACATATCCCAGTTCTTTACAGCTTGTAGCACTTTAAAAATGTTTACAGCTTTGACAGCAAACTTCATTTTCATGCTTCTGTTTATTAAGGATACTTCTCATAAGTCAGTTTAATTTTATTACAGTTCTGTTATTTGAAGTTGAGTTATTTCCCTCAATTGCAGTTATTAAATTTTCAACTCTTAAACTGTGTTTCAGAAAAACAGATAAAACAAATAGAAAATTCTGATAGTCCAGTAGCATAGATGTCCTATTTGTCATATATTGAAAGGATCATCTCTTAATAATAAACCAAAATCATAAGTATAAAACATTCTTTTTTTTTTTTCCGGATGAAATAGCAAACATCTAAACTGAGAAAACCGAAGCGGTCCTTCTGAAAGTTGACATGGGGGAGGTGGTAGGAGGAAAGCAAGAAAGCAGTTATGTTGTTTATTTTACGAATGAATGAATTTTGGAAAATTTTGTGCCAGTTTTCTATCTAGAATCCAGTGATATTGTATGAATTGAGTCCGCTCTCCTATGTGGTGGGCTAACACTTCTCATTATCCTACCTTAAGATGCTTAAAGCTAATTGAACCTACTACCCAGGTACAGCAGATTATATTATACCCTTTGTGATTAACAGAATAGAGAAGACATACCCTGAAGGAAGGTTTCTTCCACTTTGCCCCTTTCCATATCGGGAACATAAAATGAAGAACTCAGGACCTGAGACAATTATCAGAAGGGGAATCTATCCATTTCAACTCTGCACTTTTAGGTGTTTTGTTTCTCTCTTGGCTTTGCCAGGTTTTATACCATAAGTGAAGTGTCCCAGTAGTATAGGGACATAAATGCCTGATGCTCTTGTACATCTCTCTTTCCTTGTGCGCATCTGAAAACAGATGGGTGTACAATAGGTGAGTCGTCAAGACAAGTACACCACAGAAAAAGGGGGCATCTGACTCATTTAGAACAGTACTTTGTTTTGCAAGTTATAATAGTTGAAATATTTGATTCATATGCTGGAAATTACTGTGAAAGTGACCAAAATAATAGGAATATTTCAATTTACTACCAATTAATTTTTTTTTTTTTTTTGGTAAATACTTAATAGGTAAAGCACACAATTGCCAGTTAGCAGATGTTCTTCTGTTTCCCTAAATGTTCTTTAAATTGGTATTTTTATTATTGTTGTTAAGGATTATGATAAACATAACATGTTGGTGCATAAGCTGTGCTTTGAATTTCCTTTTCAAAACTTAAAGTATTTTTAATATAATTATGTTGGGATTTAGTAGATTTTTGTTTCTTAGTACTTCATGGATAAGTGACTCCGGGTTGTTGGACATTAAGTATTTTAATTTGCCTTTTTTTATTTAGTGGACTTGTGCCTCTTCATAATGCATGTTCATATGGACATTATGAAGTCACAGAACTGTTGCTAAAGGTAGGAGAAATTAAAAATTTTGAATATTTTTTCCTTGTTGTTTTTTAACTTGTAATAAATTTTCATGTTTTTTTGGGTAATAAGATTTTTAAGAGAATAAAATAGTTTTAAAAATATTATCATTGCCTTAAAAACTTAAAACATTCTATTAAACTTACTTTCAGCTGTTTTTAAAGCTGAAATTAAAACATCTATTGCCATTTCTAAGAATTGTAACTAAAATTTATAGTGAAATTAATGTGTTCTGAGTTTTTTTGATCCAGTGAAATGATCACTGACCTGAAACTTTTTTTCTCAATTCAGCATGGAGCTTGTGTTAATGCTATGGATCTTTGGCAGTTCACTCCACTACATGAGGCTGCTTCCAAGAATCGTGTAGAAGTTTGCTCTTTGTTACTTAGTCATGGTGCAGATCCTACCTTAGTCAACTGCCATGGCAAAAGTGCTGTGGATATGGCTCCCACTCCTGAGCTCCGGGAGAGATTGACTTGTATGTATTTATATCCTAAACTCTGTATTGCTTGTTGCAAATTGAAATACCACATTTCTGTTTCGTTATTAGTGTTTTGTCTAATTTAGATAATATTCTTCAGTTCTTGCAGGTTTATAATCTTCATTTCTAAACATATACTTTTCTTCATGAATTCCACAGGAATCTTATCTTGTATACATAGTTTGTATATATTTTGTGTTTATTTAAACCTAGTTCTAATTCATATGTTGAGACTCCTTTTTTTTTAAAGGCTAATGAGAATGAGCCAATCCACAACCATTTATCGAATACCTGTTTTGTGCCAGGCTCTGAAGATGCAACAGTGAACAAAACAGAAAAAAAATCTCCAAGCTCATAGAGCTTATATTCTTGTGCTATTGGTGATAGATAATATCTACCATTTTCGAGCCCTATTTCCCAAGCCCTGTGTAAGCACCTGACCCATACTATCTCATTTAAGCTTTATGTTTCATTTTTAAATTAAAGAATAATTTGCATATAGTATAATTCATCCTTTTTAGTATATAGTTCTGGGAGTTTGGACAGGTACATACAGTCATGTAACCGGCACTGCAGTCAATGTTAATTATTTCAGGATGGATGAATTTTTGAAAACTTTGTACCAGTTTTCCATGTAGTCTCCAAGGATATAAGAATTGGGGCTGCTATGCTATGTGATAGGCTAACGTTTCTCATTTTCTCACCTTAAGTTCTGTCACCCCCCACATTTCTACATGTTCCTTTATAGTCAGCTCCTCTTAAGAATCCTTTTAGTGGAGGCATTTTGACTCTGCATCTCCATTTCTAGACACTTGCTTAGAGAAGTTAATTTAAACGCCTAAGAAAATCTTTGCTAAGTGGTAAGTTAATGAAAAGGCACAGTCAAAATGATGCTGGCATCATTTATGTTTCAACAGGTTTAAATTTAGTTGTCTTAACCCAAGAAGAGTTCCCTGCAATTTTGATCTGGTTTAAGTGGAAATTTAAACTTATTTTGGTACTTGACCAGATGACATCTAGCAGATTACACATTAGCACAGACCAGATTGCAACTGGGCAGATGTCTCTGTGATGAATCCTTTTAGTGGTGCATTTATTCTCTCTCCCACCCGTACGACTCTCACCATATGCTGTCTTGCGTTATATAGTTCATTTTTCTATATGTGTGTTCTATCTTGCCAATGAAATTTAAATTCTTAGAAAGACCTTTGGTTTTATTATTCTTTGTCTTCTTAGCACCTGCACAATGCCTTGTACCTAATAAAAATGTGTTGATGGCATTTGTATTTGGGCCTATATATCTACCTACCCCCAGCCTGGCTCAGTGTATTGTGCATAGTATGTGCTCAGCAAGTTTACTGAATTAAATTTAACTGAACTTAAAACTTATAATTTTATCTTTTTCTCATTTCCTTTCTTGTAGTTTATATCCTGGGCTCAACTTTGTCCCCGTGTCACCAACTGACTCTTTTTCTTCCTTTCAGACTTTTTTTTTAAATTATGAGTATTATTATATGTTTTTATATTGCATTTCACTGCTCTTTCTTATTCCATGTAGACATGAAAATTAAACCTAAATTTATATAGTTTTATAAAAGGCGCAGTCCCGACTGGCATACTCTTCAAGCTTTTTAATATCTATTTTATTAAATAAGATTCTGCCAAGGAATTATTCGAAGAAAACAACTTAACGAAGTTGAACCTTCTCTAACTGCAGTTTTCATTACCATGTCCACTGGTTTATACTATGCATTCACATTTACATTTTTTTTTCTTTAAAGAAAATCATATAGGAAACAAAATCAATACTTTTATCATGTCCATTGATAAAACATTTTCCTCACACACATATTTTCTGCTCTTTCTTACCTTTTTATTTGTTGTCTTTATGAAGCCAAATAAAAAAGGTAGTTTTAATTCTGTGCATATTGAGAGTTGAAAATACTGGAAGTAGCTTTGATTCTTGTTTTAAAAATATATTTAGAAAGAGTAACTCTTAGGCATTTTATAAATACTAAGTTTTCAGGGTAAGTTTGAGTCATTTTACAGTTTTACTACCTTCTCAACAAGATAACTTCTTTGAGGTACCAAAACAATCTTTATGTTACTTTTACATTTAGATATTTAGAAGGACAGTTATAAGTTGACAGATTTTCCCTCCTCTGGGTTATTTATTTTTAATCTTAAGTATTTGCCAATAAAATATTTTTTTTATTTGAAAATCAGTTTGGGCCAGAATCTTTACTTCTTTTCTAAAAGATAAGGACTATTTTACATCTTGCTATTTAAGAAAATGTCATGCTGTTTAATTGCATTATATTTTCTTAATTTGCTTAGTGCTGCAAACAGTCTTATTTTTTATGTTTTTTGTAAATTTACTTGCTGATTTTCTTCTAAGCCATATTTCTTGGACTTAAAGGAGTAATTTAAAGATAATGTTGCTTTTATCTCTTTGATACTTTTAGAATATTTGTCATTAGAGAAAAAGCCAGTATGATTTGAATTCAGCTTAAGTTTTTCTAGACTGGTGATTTAGGCACAACTGTATTTTTTGCTTGACATCAGTTTTCAGTACATTACTTTCCTTTGCAGTTGTCAGAATCCAGCCCCTTATGTATGACAGTTTACAATTCTCTCACTTCATTTGTCCCTAACTTAATCATTAATATGAAAATCTATAATTTTGTTATTTGAATTTACTGGCTTGCTATCATTTCATTTGACCTTGATTTTTTTGTTTCTGAAGTTAAGCACTAAACTTTGAGGAATTTAGAAATGATAAAGTACCACTACACAGGAAGTTGTTTTTTATTAAAAAAAAAAAAAAATTTTTTTTTCCTCCCATGATTTATTTTGTAAATATTCCAGGGCTTTGAACCGATTCTTCCCAGTTGAGACATGGCCGAGAAAGCGAAACCAGAACTGACCTGCAGCTTTGAACCGATTCTTCCCAGTTGAGACATGGCCGAGAAAGCGAAACCAGAACTGACCTGCATTTTTTAAATTCAGCTAAACCAGAATGGGAAAAATTATAAGTTAAAACCCTACTAGAAACCTAATCTCCCTCTTAGAAAACAGTGGGAGCGTATGTGTTGCATAGTAACAAAATCTCTGACCCACAGGATTTTGAGCAGAGTCCAAAATAGCGGTGACCTGCTCAAAGATGGCAGCTGACTGCTCTGCTTTGAATGTGTGTTACTCTCCACAGTCCTGCCAATAATCCAGTCTCACGCACCAGCCTTCTGAAAGGGCTCACTATGCCTATTCCGAGTCTCCCATTCCAGGGCTTTGAGCCATAATTTTTCCCGTTATTGTTCCTGATCACCCTAATTGTAAAAATTCGGGTCTGTTCCAGTTTCGCTTCATCAGCTATGGTGAACCGGTTCAGAGCCCTGAAATATTCAGCATTCATGCAATAAATATTTCTTTACTGAGTATCTCCTATGTTCCAAGCACTATGCTAGGTGATGGGGCTACCATAACAAATAAGACAGTGAGGTATGTCCTATGATAAGACTAAATGCAAGTGCTGTGGACCTCATAAGAAGGAATTCTCACCCAGTAATGGGGAAGCTCAGGAAGGCTGATCCAGAGTATTGAAACTGAGATCTTAAACCATGAGTAGTAGTTAATGGGGAGTGTGTGTGTGTACACATGAGTGTCTGTGTGCCTCTGTCTTTTGAGGGAGAGAGGGGAGCAGTGATAGAGCCCTCAGAGGAGAGTGGAGAAAGGAAAAGGGAAAGAAAGAACATCGTACCGGGCAGATGCAAAGGCCTGAGCCTAGGAGGGCCTGAAATAGTTAATAAATCTGTTAGGTCACACATCATTAGTAACTTTTTAGAGCAATTTTCAGCATTTTGTTAAGTTGGCGATAAGTTGGCATCTCAAAATACAAACCAAACTTGTAAAATGGTAAATAAGACCAACACGTTGTTTTCTGGTTTATGCAATTAATTTAACAATGGCTTTTTTAAAAATTCGCTGACCTACTTTTGTAAATAATACATAAAGTATTAAATGTTCTTTGAAAAATTTTCCAACTCTGGTACTTCCTCCATAATTCAGTTCTTTTCAGTGTCAAGACAATCACTATTAATCTTTCGGTGACTATTTCTCTAAATGTCTTTATCTGTATCACTACTTAATAATTGGTTGTGGTGGCAGTAGTAGGCGTAGCAATGACACCAAAAAATTGAGTCAGTGCTTGCTTCGGCAGCACATATACTAAAATTGGAATGATACAGAGAAGATTAGCATGGCCCCTGTGCAAGGATGACACACAAATTCGTGAAGCGTTCCATATTTTTTGTAAAACCAAATGAGACTAACAAGGTACAGGAGTCCAGTGACTAGGGCCAGAAGGCAGAAGGGGACAAGGAAGCTGGTGATAGGGAACCCAAGGTTGAGTAAAGATATTGTTGATATGTTGTGAGATTGTTAACCATTGTCATAGGGCAACATTTGTAATAACTGTTAAATGAGAAACTATTTTTGTTCTGTAAGCCTTCATCTTAAGTGAGAATAACAGCACAATTGGAAGAGCGTAGTCAATGTCACTGAACTGTGCATGCAGAAATTTTTGAAATGATGTATGTTTGGCTATGTATATTTTCACCAAGAAAAAAGGGGGGTTGAGAAGTTAGAGGGTTGATATGTTGTGGGGTTGTTAACCAACGTTATAAAACAACATGTGTACTTCTGTTTCATGAGAAACTATTTGTTCTGTAAGCCTTCACCTGAAGTACAATAAAAAAAAAAAAAATTAAGTCAGCCTATCCTTAGTTTTTTGCTACTTGAATTTTTCATTTAACATTACTATCTACTTTCAAGCCAGTATATATATGTTTAAAGCTGGGGCCACTTAGATGTCCACCGAAAGGAAACCGATTAAATAATTTATGGCATACTCACACACTGGAATACTTTACAGCTTTAGGTACTCTCAGTTTTTTAAATTTTGCTTCAGTGAGTATCTTTGTGTGCGTATCTTTAGGGACTGTAAGAATCTAAATCAATCTTCTCTCAGAACATATATATTTCAAAATTTTTTCATTAATCTGCACCTCTGTCATATCGTCATATTGCTCCTGTTGCCAAAATAGAGGAATATGTAAAATTAATAGTTCTACTACTTATTTGTAGTTATGTGAAAGATTTTTATAAATATTAAATCTTTATTATGTCAATCATTATTTCACTAACAGATGAATTTAAAGGTCATTCCTTACTACAAGCGGCCAGAGAAGCAGACCTAGCCAAAGTTAAAAAAACACTTGCTTTGGAAATCATTAATTTCAAACAACCTCAGTCTCATGAAACAGCCCTGGTAAGAGTCTATTGTTAATTCATTCCTTGGGTGTATAACAGTAATGCAAGCACAAAATATGATTTCCATTTCAGAAACCTTAAAGTAATTTTAGTACCTGAAATGCCAGGAATTTGCATTTTAATGTTGGTTGCATTGATTTTTAAATTTGGTTTGGGCAGTGATTCTTTTCATGGGTGAGGGAATAGACATTTGCTCAACTTTGATTTGGGATTTTTTTTTTTTTTACCTTTGTCTTTATACAGCCTATTATAACAAATCTACTTTGTAGCCAGTGCTTTCATAACTTACAAGATGTGATTTTCCCTATAGAATCTTCTTTTTCTTGTGGTTGCTAGATAAATACTATATTTGTTGTTCTCTAAAAGATTAAAGTGTATGTTCAGAGATACTCGCATCATCCTCTTGAACAATCGTATTCAAGGAGCTGATCACATCCGTTCTAGAAACGTGATGAGATTATGACCTTTCTGCTCCAGACCCAGATGAGCTTTATTCGTGTTTTCTCTTCTTTTGCACTTTCAGAACGATTAGTTCATTTTCCTTGACATTGACCACGTTAAGGCTCAGAGATGAGGCTGGTCAGTGGTTGTCACTTCTGAATTCAGAATTTAAGCAATATGTGATGCCTGTCTCACAGACCTCTACATGTGCTTTAGTTAACATTCTCACACCTCCCTGGCACAAAAAGGTGGTCAAACTTTAGTCAACATCTGCTGAAAAAAAACATTAAAAGAGTCATCAAACTGAAATGGGCTGACTACATGTGCATTTAATATGACTGTCAAACTGAGGTTTATGTACACTCCAGCCATACACACAGCATTGTGCCAGGAGGTACTTAGCCACAGAATAAACCTGACCTGCTTTCCCAGAGCATTCACTTCATTCAGTAGAAAGTAATTTTTAAATTTTAATATAAACATTAATATAAAATGAAGTAGAATACAAGAGTTGTATAAATATTAGGATAAAATAAAATTTCTAAGAATATGTCTTCCTCAAAGCTGCTTCAAGTCTTATCACATTCTTGCCATTCCTGAGACGTATATGCTTATTCACCTGTAGTGCTGGGCATACCTCTGTGGAAAAGTTTGAGAAATACTGACTTATGTGGCTGACAGTCTAATGAAGTATTGAGTAATTTTAGGTTTCCGTCGCTTTGGAGAGGCAGTATACTCATGCCTTCGATAGAATATGTATATACTGGGATGTTCATTTATTAGCTAAAGGAAAAGAAAGGAAGTCTCTCTAAATGTTTAATTAAGAGTATAATTTCACCTTGGTTTTAAGGCTACTGTTTTGTACTTGCAGTGTATTCAGAAGGAATTTTTATTTTCTCCATAATTTAAAGTTCGTAAGTGTTCTAATGTTCTTTGAGATAACAGTGTTCTAAATCGTCAGCAGATGCTATTTAAATTAGACATCTACTTTTAAATAGAAACTTCTGTTATTGACTTAGGTTTGTTTGTTTTCCAGCACTGTGCTGTGGCCTCCCTACATCCCAAGCGAAAACAAGTGACAGAATTGTTACTTCGAAAAGGAGCAAATGTTAATGAGAAAAATAAAGAGTAAGTGTAATTGCAGAAAGAGTTGCTCGATTCTTAAAGAGGAAGCCCAGTAAAGCTAGAGAGGAAATTACCTTTTCCTTTTCTGCTCCCTGTAGTTTCCTGACTCCCCTGCATGTGGCTGCTGAACGAGCTCACAATGATGTCATGGAAGTTCTGCATAAGCATGGAGCAAAGGTAAGGCACAGGCCTGCGAGAAAGTACCAGGCTCCGCCTTCAGTCACTTGCTACGCCTCTGACTGCTACTGTTCTCTCTAGTTTTTCTCAGTAAATGAATTTCATAAAGCACTGCTAGCTTGTATTTGAATTCATAGATTCTACTTTTAAGCTGATGTAAATCCTGTTAGTAGTAAAAATACTTGTGTTTTCTTTGTAACGGAATGTCATTCTTCTATAAAGCAAGTGAAATGTAGCTACAGTCTTATTGTGTGAAATATATTTCAACTTTACAGTATTTTAAGTGTATAGAATTGATATATTTTGATAGTCAACATTTCAGTGATGTTTATCATGAAACGATTTATGTAAATGATAGAAAGTCATAATATCTGACTAGAAATTCCTAAGATATTTATTTTAAAGCATATTTATATTCCTTCAAATTGCTACTGATGATAATTTTCTCAAATATCCTCTATACTGAAGAAGTATGAAATTTTAAATAATTATTTTCCATTAACATTATCTGAATGATATTCTCTGAAACCCTGTGAATCTCTTGAGGGAGGAAGGAAGCAAATTGGTTATTTTCAGAGGAGACTGGGACTTGGCAAAATCTTAAATCCTTAAGGGTGCATGTTTTAAAGGAGCAGTCTCCAAAGCAGGTGCTGACACCCTATGGGGCACACATGAGCCATTGGATGCAGGAAAAAATATTACAATTTTAGTTTATATTATTTTTATTTTATAATGAAGAAATTAAAAATTACTAATATTTAATACACAGATTAATGCTAGCACCCTCATTAGGTCCATGTGTCAGCTGGTGTGAATTGTGTCAGATGCTAAGGTTTACCTGAGGAAGAATGGGGTTTCCTGGTCTGGAGAGATTGCCAGTGGCAAACTCACTCATCTGTTCACTTTCAGCACGCTGTGACCTATTGCAGTTTACATGTGCCCAAATGAGTGGATTTATGGGTACTGTCCTAAATGTCGGAGCCCTGGTGGCACAGTGGTTAAGAGCTCGGCTACTAACCAAAAAGTCAGCAGCTCAGATCCACCAGCTTTTCCTTGGAAACCCTATGGGGTAGTTCTACTCTGTCCTGTAGGGTTGCTATGAGTCAGAATCAACTTGATGGCAGTGGGTTCAGTGGGTTTATTCTAAATGTTAGAACTATTGTAAATACCATACTTGATCATCAGAGGGCGTGGCCTTGAAAATCTTTTATATCCTAGAGAGATCCTCTGGTTATTTCATGGAATAATATTTTAAGGACTTGTCATACTTAGTGATTGTGCATTTTTCTTTTATGACAGGAAGAGGGTTGAAAATTTGCTGATAGTTCTGAGATGGCAAATGACTAGGACTTTTATGTAGGGTTTTTTTTTTTTTTTAAGAAACATAATCAGACTCTTAGAGGTAAAAGGTACATTTTTTAGTGAATGAGAAAGTAACTGCTTTCTTAAAGAAACTTAAACACAAAGGCAGCATTTTGAAAAGATTCTTAGAAAATGTCCTGTTTTGTGATTTTGTTGCTGAAAAATTACGTATATGTGTCACTCAGCCATCATAGCTACATAATTTTTTTTTTTTTTAAGTGAAAACAGTTTTCTAACCTGTTTAAAAGTTTTTCTTAATTTGTGTTTAGGTGGTTTTTGAACCTATTAAAAAACATTATAACACAACATCTCCGAATAAGTTTGCAAGAACATTGAGAAAGATGAAATTTTACTAGCAAATTTCAATTAAAACCATAGCATAATTAGTAAACTGTGTTAAAAATAAGGATTGTGTTTTAGTAACCATAGCTAACAGTGTACTTCCTCCATTGGTTCTACATACCTGTGTGATGTCTTCTCAGCTAATACAGCTATTGGAACCAGCTAGCAAAATAAACTGAACTTAGAATCAGACTTTCAAATTCCTACATCACAATTTTTTAATAAGATTTAAAAAAAAAATGTTTTTAATTAGAGCAAAAAGATATTTTGTGTCATTAGTAATTAAAATATTTAAAAATTTTTAATTATTTCATCCTTTGTAATTTGTTTTTTGCATAAATTTTATAAATGTTGCTAATATATTAATATAGCACTGCTTGCTTATGATTTATAAATACACACATATATAATATTGAGAGGGTTCTGAAAACATTTCTTTTAATCACAGGGTACATGATCCAAAATTTTGGATATCATTGTTTTAAAAGCACAATTGATGTTTTTAATTAAAAATCAGGATGGGATGAAATGAAAAGGGTGATAACAGATTTATTAGCGATTTTGTAGGTACAGCGATGGTATTTTTATAAAAACTATGTCTTGCTCTGTCAAGCAGAATATACTATAAAGTAAGTGAGCTTTCTGCTACACTTAAGAGCATCATATGTTGATCATTGACCTGTTTTTTAAAATGTTTTATGGCATTTATCATGTTCTTAATAAAACTATGAATAATGCCCTCCATTTTGAGAAGATACTATTTATTGTCTCCCAGAAGTCATTTTATTTCATAAAGGTCCAGTGAATAATAAAATTAATTTATAGCCTGTCCTAGTCAGCATTACTGTAGGTCAGCATTTTTCTGCCTTTCGTATGCACAGTACATTCTCTTCAGTAACGTCTCTGTTCATCAGCGGGGCATGTGTAGTTTTAAATACGCTGCCAGTGATGTAAAAGGACTTCTAGATTAGCATATCCTCCCTAGGCCTTCCACTATAGTTCAGCTAAATTGAGAATTCCTGCTAGTAGGCACTTTAAAAGCAGAAGAAAAGAATCATACTTAATCGAGGTTATGAACCAGTAGATGCCAACTGTCCATCATCCCATTCACTCATCCCTGTTTCCAAGACAGGAAGATATTCCTCAGGATGTATCTGGTGGTTAAGGTGTTAGTAAAAATTCTCTCTAGAAACCTGACTTATCTACTGTTAGACCCCAATTTTTGTTTGTTCTACATTTTCTTTCAGGGGAACTCATAGTTTTGATATGCTTTTGGGCAACATGATTTCCTTGATTCTGAAAGCACCTTCTGAACAAGCAGTCCTGCCCCTTAATTCGGATTCAGCCTTCTTACACTGCTTCCACTACCTTGCTGCCTTCCCCTGTTGGTGATGAGTCAGTCTCTAGGGCTGTTAAATCAAAAGAGTCAGAAGAATTTGCGAGAGATCTAATTACCACTAGCTCATTTGTCATTCTTGGACAGATAGAACTTATTAATAGTTTTATAAGTCAAAACACTGTTTTGTCCAAAGTTTGGTGATAAATACAAAGTCTGAGTTTATTGTGCATTTGAAACTAAACATATTTCCTGTCTAACTTAGGCATGCTTTTCAGTCTAGAATGCTCTACTTTCTAGCTTTGTGGCCTTGGACTTAATTTCCCTGAGCCTCTATTGATTCATGTGGTGATATGTGAGTGTTAATATTTCCCCTACATTTTTTTTTTTTTAATCAAATGAGCAAATTTGTGCCTG